CTCTTTGGGCCCCGAACTTGCAGGCTACCTCTCTGCTGTCTTTTCACGTCCCAGACAGGAGAGGCCACAGCTAGAGGTCTGACACTTGGCCATGTCTGCCAGTGACCCTTCTGGACGGAACACATCCCCGCCAAGCCAGGCACTGCTGGTCCCGCCCCCCAGAAAACACCCCTCCACCTCCGCCCTATGCTCTGACCTTTGTGGGTCGCCACAGACGCTGGATATTCTGTTTGGTGCTGCCAATCCCTCCCCCGTCCTACTCCATCCCCTGGAAGGAGCCGTCACTGGGGAGCCTGGCCCTCTGGCTGACGGATGGGCCAATGTGAGACCCGGGAGGACAGCAGCACAGGGAGCGGGGCGGGGGGGTGCAGGCGTATCTTGCCTGGCTCCCTGCCTGCTTTGGTTCAGGGCCCTGGCACTGGCTGCATCCCTCCAAACCTGGGGACCAGCTGGCCATCCCCAAGGCCCCTGCTCTCCCTGGACCCCAGGGGCATCACTTCCTCCTGCTGCCCCTTCACCTCTACATCCTGCCCCCACCTCTGCGTGGCAGGCCTGGGGTGAGCTCTGTTCCCTGCTGGGACCCTGACATCCACCCGCGGTGCCGGGGAGGGTCTCTCAGGGCTCCCTTTCTGCACACTTGGTTAGCTCAGAGCCGGGGGCCCCTTCTAGAACCTGGGGGAGGGGGGGAATGTCCCCTCAAGGGGACTCAAAAGAAGTGCAGAGGCTTCCCTGGTGGCACAGTGGTTGAGAGTCCGCCTGCCGATGCAGGGGACACGGGTTTGTGCCCCGGTCCGGGAGGATCCCACATGCCACGGAGCGGCTGGGCCCGTGAGCCATGGCCACTGGGCCTGTGCTCCGCAACGGGAGAGGCCACAACAGTGAGAGGCCTGCGGACCACAAAAAAAAAAAAAAAAAAAAAAAGCAAACACATGGCTGGGCTGTGACACCCAGCACTGGCCTTGGGGGGGCCTTTTCTCACCTCTGCACCTCGCTTCCCTCATCTGTAAATGGGGACAAGGTAACATGCACATCGCAGGGTGTCAATTCTAAAGGGCCACCTATGTTCCTCACTACGATTTGGTATTCATCCCCTCCATTTCTGGAAGGGACCCTGTACATTCTGGGTTCAGGGTCTGGATGATTCAGGAGGAAGGAAGCCGTGCGGTAAACACACACACCCTAGATCTAACGGAGGCCCAAGGCTTTTACAAGTGGCATCAGCTACTATAATGCCACGCGTGGGGTTGTGGCAGGGCTGGGTGGAGGGCTCTAGAGCTGGTCTAGAGTTCAAATGTCAGCTGTGCACTTTCCAGGCTTTCTCATGTCTTGGGCACACGGCTGAACCTCTTTCTCTGTCTGTTAAATGTAGACAGCCGTGCCAATGGCTGGAAGGGTTGCCGTGAGGATGAAAGAGACAACGCGTGTCACATACAGAGGACGGCCCGGCACAGAGGAAGCCTTTAATAAACAGTAGCTTTCATGAGTCCCTTTAATGCTCGGCTGGTCTCAGTTCTGTCATCCGCAAAACGGGGCTAATCAGGCCCACCTCACGGGGCTGTTGGGGCATTCATGGGAAGATGTACGCAAACAACCTGCTGTCCTTCCTGATATTATTATTGTATCTGCCCCTGCCTGGGCCTTGGCCTGCAGCTGATAGGGGGCGATAGCCAATCCCACAGAAACACCTCCAGCCGAGGCTTTCTGCTGGGGTAAGGCAGTAAATGCGGTCTCTGGAGCTCAGTTTATTGAAGGGGGCTACTCTCCAACGCAGGGCAGGACTGCTGAGTCTGCACCCCCCGCGGGGCGGGGGGTGGGGGGGCAGGGGGACGGGAGAGTCCCTTACGCAAACATTTGCCGATGGGTGTTCAGGCCGGTCAATGGCTGTCGATAAGGATAGGCTCTCCTGCACGGCAGGATTTGGGGACTTACTGAGTTGTGTGCTTGCGACTGTGTACTTAGCCCTGATGGCTCTGCTTTCTCGTTTGCCTTTGCTTATGTATTCCCCAGCCTCGGACTCGCCCGGGCTGGCACGGGGGCCCGGAGATGAACCAATCAGTGACAGAGGTGACATGACGGCACACGATGGCGTGCGCTCCACCCTGGGGGAGGCGCCAGTCCAGCAAGAAGAATCGTTAAGAAATACAGGACGGGGACTTCCCTGGTGGAGCGGTGGTTCAGACTCCACGCTCCCAATACAGGGGACCCAGCTTCGATTTCTGGCCAGGGAACTAGGTGCCACGTGCATGCCGCAACTAAGGAGCCCGCCTGCCACAACTAAGACCTGGTGCAACCAAATTAAAAAAAAAAATAAAAAAATAAAGAAATACATGACGACGTGGCAAGGAGGTTTAGGAACACAGGTGGGAGAGCAGAGGACGGAGCCATTACTGATACCTGGGGGTGGAGGGTGGGGAAAGGGAAGGCTTCTTGGAGGAGGTGTCATTTGAGCTGGGCCTTAAAGGCTGGAGAGGCACTTGCCAGGTTGGAAAAAAAGAGAAAAGCAAAACTGAGAGGCAAGGCATTCTGAGCACAGGGAACAGCATATGCAAAGACAGAGTCCTGCCTGGCGTTTGGAGACAGTGACCTCCACGGGAGGTGTGGTGGGGAAGGATTAGGCAGGGAAGGCCACTGAGGTGGGCACGGGGGTGTGTTCTGAAGGGTTTGGCAGGTGGGGCTAGAGTCAAAGGGCTTCCATGCTGTTTCTAGACAATGTGCTAGAGAAGGTGAGGCCCGTGTTAGGCCTCTGGCTGCCCTCTCCAGCCACACTGGCCGCCCCGTTTCTCGATGTGTCACACTCATGCCAACCCTGGGCAACCCTCCTGTGGGCACAAATGTCACCTCTGCGGGCAGGTCCTTCTGGACCTAGCCCCTTCCACCTGGACCCAAAGGCCCCCGAGGTCACCGCTGCACTCCTCGTACTGAGACATGGCAGGGGCTAAGTATTTTCTGGGGATGGACTGCATTACTGGCGAGGCTGTGTGATGCCACCAAGGTATAAGAGGTGGAGCTAGGTCCTGTGACCATCGGGGCCAGGGCAGGAAGCGGAAGGCGCTCAAACTGGATAACTGAGGAGGGTCCAGTAAACAGGTAGCAGGCGCAGGGAAATCGGGGCAAGTGGTCCCTGGGTCAGCCACTGGACCCTGGACAGAGAGTGCTGGGTGCAGAGAGCCACTGGATGTGAGCTGTGGCCTCTGGGGGCAATGACAGCCAGCCGGCAGCAACCAGGCAGGAAGTGAGGGGGGGCGGGGGGATAACCACCCTCACCCAGGCTATTCCTCTCCCCGATTTCCTGCCAGGCCTCCCAATGACCTGACTTGACTGGGAAACCAAAAGGGCATGGAGGCCACCAATGCCACCCACTCGGGTCAGCACCTCCCACTGGCACAGAGAAGCGTGTGGATGGCGGAAGGTAGATGTGAAGGAGACGGAGGGAGGTCCAGGAACCTGGCCCCCGCAGCCCGGCCGGCGGACGGCAGTTCTCTTACCGTGGAAGTGCTCGGCCGTCTTCCGCCGCAGGGCCTGCAGGCTCACCTCGGAGTCGGCCCACTCCAGCACCAGCCTCCGGCCGTACAAGTGGGTGCTGTGACACAGGGCGTTGAAGGCCCTCTGGAACGAAACACAGCGTGTGAGCAGAGACCCACCGGCAGACGCGACAGCCTGGTCTCCTACCCGCCAGCACCACAAACCTAAAGGCCAGCTCTGGCCCCGCGACACCTGCTTCCTGTGGTGGGTGTAGGGAGCTGATGGGTACTTCTATTCCATTAGTGGGTTACGTGCCCAGGGACAGTGCTGCAAGCGGCCGTGCGCTCAATACATCCGCTCTCTGGGCTGTGACTGGTGCCTGGGCCGGGCAGCCGGCTTCCCTCTCGTGTTCCATCCCATCTGGGGACGGTGACCCCGTTAGGCGGCTGGCCTCCCACCCGGCTGCCAGGGGCAGTGCCTCTGAGGAAGCCGAGCCCATCCGGCCCCCCGATGACAACCACAGGGGCCCTTCACTGTCACTGGGCGGCACCGTCCTCCGCGGGTACTGGGGATTCCGGCCCCCCATCTCTCTCTGCTGCCCTCTGCTGAGGCTCCCTTGGCCACCGCACTGCCGCGGCCCCCCAGCCACTGGCTTCCGCAGCGGGCTCAGCGGCCTGGGAGCTGCGCACGCCCTTGCCTCCCGCTCTTCGCTCTTCCTGACCTCTCCCCGCACTCTGCCTACTTCCGTCTTTTTGACTTTTGTTTTGTCAACAGCTTTATTGGGATATAACTCACCATACATACAAGTCACTATCATAGAAGTCACCCGTCTACAATTCAATGGCTTTTAGTCTATTCATAGAGTTGTGTGACCACCACCATACCTATTTTAGAACATTTTCATCATCATCACTGCAAAAGAAACCCTGTACCCATTTGCAGCCACTCCCTATTCCCCCTGCCGCCCGGCAAGCGCTAGTCTACTTTCTGTCTCTGTGGATTTGCCTATTCTGGACACTTCCTACAAATGGATTTATATGGCACCAGTGAGTTCCCTCTTAAACATCACCAGGTCTAGAGCTAAATTGGCTCTGTGCTGGGGCTCTTCCCAAAACACCCCTGAGGTGCACAGAGGCCACTGCACTTGGTAGCCAGGAGCTTGGGCTCTGAGGCCACCCTGCCTGGGCAGGGCAGGTCCTGCACTTCCTAGCTTCGAGGCCTTGGGCAAGTTAAATGAATCTCCCTGGCCTCAGTTTCCTCATCTGTAAAATGGGAATGTTAACAGCACTATCCTCTAGGGTTCTACAGAAGAAGACAAAGAGTTAACATGCAAAGTGCCCAGAACACTCTGGGGGCGCACAGTAAGTGCTCAATCGATGCTAGTTCTCGTGAAGGTGGTGTTGCCACCACAGACATCTGCAATTTCTCTCAGCACAGAGGCCTCGGGTTAGTGCTAGGTTGAAGGCGTGGGCTCCCAGGCGCTGTCAGCACCAGGGAGCAGCAGTGGCCGGTGGTGGCGTCTCGGTCTCTGCTTCTGGGTTGCAGGCGGCGCCATCTGCTATGAGAAGAGGCGCCATGGGGTTTGTCCCTCTTGCTTCTTTGATGCTGTGAAGAGGCAGTGGAACCAGTCCCTCTCTGGCCTCATCTGCACTGTGACTGTTAGAGGTTGGACTGGGTCCACCAAAAGAAGAGATGTGGAAATGCTAACCTGGCACCCCAGGTTGTGGCCTTATCTGCAAACAGGGTCTTTGCAGATGCAGTTAAATTAAGACGAGGACATCCTGGAGTACGATGGGCCCCTGATCTAGTGTGACTGGTGTCCTTACAAGAGATGGTCATGTGAAGACACAGGGTGAATGCACGTGACAAAGGAGGCTGGAGTGATATCCACAGCAGGGAATGCAGGCTGTCACCGGAAGCTAGGAGAGAAGCATGGAATAGATTTTCCCTGAGAAGGAACCAATACTGCTGACAAGTTGATCTTGGACTTTTGGCCTCTAGAACTGTGAGAGAAGACATTTCTGTTGTTTTAAGCCTAGGAAGGCAACAGTGACCTTGGGTAAGCCAACTGCCCCCCCATGAGCTTCAGTTTCCTCACCTGTAAAATGGGGCGAACTGTGAGACTCACATACCATCAGCCCCGAGGGTGGCAGTGAGTAGGTATTTGCTAGACGGTTGCATCTGAAAAGCACCGGTGCGAGGTGGGTGGGTCATGCATCTTTTAAAAATTAGACATGGGCCCAAATTAAAGAAATGCTTTTGTTCTCCTTCGTGCTTTTCTGAGAAGGACCAGGTGCAGGAAACTTTTTCTTTTCTTTGTTTTTTTTTTAAACGTTCATTTAAAAAACTCTTTCTGACTGCCAGCAGAGCCTCTGCATTTTTTTTTTCCATGCGGATATAAAAATGCATCTGGACTCCAAGCCGGAATGGCCCATTCAGAGCTTTAAAACACATGCATTCTCAGCTGGTGAGGCAGAGAAACAGCCTGACTGGGGGAGCTGGGGTTTTAAGAGCGGGGAGTGAAACTGGTCGGGAGTCTGGCATGGCGGGTACTCCATCCTGGTGCCAGGGTCCCTGAGGGGCTGCGGTTCCACGGACACGGTCGGATGGGGGTGGCCAAGAGGTGGCATCTGGTAGGAACTAAGTCAGAGTCAGAACAAGGGGGTACTGGAGCCTGGCAGGTGAGTCCAGGCGAGATGCCCCAACTCCAGCCGTCATATCTGTGTTTCTTTCTTACCCTTGGAAACCCACTCTCCATTCATGTGCCACACAAAGCCTGGAGCGGTCTCTGTTCATTATAGGAGTTGCTAAAAATTCCCTCTCCCAGCCTCTCTCTGACATCACCCCTTGCAAATTCTCATCTTTGGAAGGGCTTTTCACTCTAAGAGGTGAGGGGGGATGGCAACTAAGACTGGGGGATCTGGACCTGGGCTACTATGGTTCAAACCCCTGCTTCATCCCTTACAAGCTGTGTGATCTTGGGCAAGCTGCTTAACCTCTCTGAGCTTGAGATTCCCCATGTGTAAAATGAGAGGCAGCAGCGAAGAATGGATGCACAGATTCAATGAACTATTAAGTCTGATGCCACACTGCCTGGCACATGGTAATTCTCACCTAAATGTTGGCTGTCGTTATTATGATGATGTATGCCCTCAACTTCCCATTATCACACGAAAGAGCGGGGAGAATGGTGAGTAGGGTACAAAAGCTCTTTTGTATTTGAGGTTAGAGCACAATGTGTGAATCTCCAAAAACAGCAGAATTACCCTTCCCGGTTCTAGTCCCCTCAGGTTAATAGGAAATCAGGTTGTGTTTCCAGCCCTAGTGGTTGGAATGTGGTGGCCCCAAACTATCGCAGGCAGGAAGCCTGTGATTCCTGGCTAAAATTGGCCTTGGATAATTCCGAGTAGTTGTGCTTCATGCAAAGAGCCTGTTATATGTGAGACCCAGGGAGGGTGACGGGGAGACACAGCCCCAGGGCCTTGGGGCTTTCGGGCCAGTGCAGGGGAAGGTTCCAGGCACAGCCCCGGCCTCTCTGGCCTGCCCTCCTCTAGCAGCTTCCTCCCAGGTCTCTGTGTCTACACTAGACTCCACTGAAACCCACACCACCTTCTCCCCAGACAGAGACTTCCCGAACCTCAGCTCTACGGCTGCGGTCATCTCGGGGTGCCCGAGGTCCCACGGAGTGCTGGGCGCTGCAATGGAGAAAGTGGAAAGTTAGCTGTTCCCAGCCCTTTGCTTCTCTCCGAATCCTGCTTCTGTTGCCTGTGTTCCTTCCTTGCCACCCAAGGGCCTTCACACCACGGATTAGAGATGTCCTGGGTTCCAGAGAACTCTAAGCACTTGACTTCAACCTACTCGTGAGAATAGACATCATTCTCCCATTTCAAGGAAAGGAAAACTGAGGCCAAGGTTGGTATGCAGGTCAAGTTCCTTCTTACTTTTCCTTTCAGCCTCTATGTGTTCCATCCCTGGGCCTTCGTAACATCTCCCTCAGCCTCGGAAGGGATCCCCTCGTACAGACTGCAGCCAGGTGTCCTCTGCGTGCCCTGCGCCCCCAGCCTCCTTAAGAACACCTGCCCCGTTAATGCCTGCTTGTGTGCCGGGCTCCCTGGCTCGACCTTGAACCTCGGAGGGAGGCCTCTATCCTGGCTACCCTTGGCACAGAGCTCGGGACAGAGCGTGCTCGGTAAGTATCTGCAGGGCGAACCATGGAGCGAGACCTTCACCGAGGGTCGTGAAAGCATGTCTCCAGACTGGGAGGGACGCTGAGGTTGGTCCCGGCTGGAGATGGAGGGCTGCTTTAGATGTACTGCCCTGGCTCCTCCAACCCCTGAGATTCAGCCCACGAGGGCAGCAGGGAAAGGAGCACGTCTCGCCCACGACTGTCCTGTCCTGTACAAGTGGGAGGCTCTGCCTTTGGTTAGGACAAGAGCTGACACATACACAGTCCTGGGTGCAGCACAGAGACGGACAGGAGGCCCCGCTCCCAACATGCGTGACTTTGGGACCTTGGGATGGGAAGAGTCACCTGTGCCACTAACACCCGATCGCCCAGCTGGGTCACTGCCGAAGCCTGAAGGTCTAGAACGGAACTCTGAGGGTGCACTGGTTTGACAAAGAGGAGGATGCTGTAAAAGACGAGGCCCCCTCCCTCGCCCCCCCCGCCCACTTCGGGGCCACTTCCTTCATCATCCGATGGGCCCGTGCTGGTTATTCCTGATCTTCCCCTGCACCCCCGCTCTGGGCTTTCAGAGCTGGCTCCCCTGGAGGGCATAACCAGGGCTCCCTGGCCTTGGGTTCCATTTAGGACGAGCAAATGCGAGGCGCCGGTGAGAGGTTAGAGGGAGGGGCAGAGAGGCCGGGGGACTTTCTCCCTGGATCCCTCCCTCCAGGACCACAGCTCCTGCCGGTGGCCCCTCCTTGACAGCTCAGGCTCTCACCTGTCCCTTCAAGGTCCCTTAGCCTAAGGTGGCGAAAGCTCCCACTGCCACTGGCCCTGGTGGGGGTGGGTCACATCCCTGGCGAGACCCCCCGAGCCCTTCTTACCCCTCCATGAATCTCTCTTCACTTGAACCATCTGGGGTTAGGTTCTGTTTGCTGACACAGATGGTCGCCTGGAGTCCCTCTGCCTTGACCCGGGG